TTTCACAGCCGCAGACGCCGCGTTTCACAGCCGCGGGCGCCACATTTCAGAGGCGCAGGCGCCGCGCGTCACAGCCGCAGGCGCCGCGCGCCGCAGCCGCAGGCGCCGCGCGTCGCAGCCATGGGAAGCCGCATTTCACAGCCACAGGCGCCGCATTTCACAGCCACGGCTGCCGCATTTCACAGACGCGGGCGCCGCGCGTCACAGCCGCGGGCGCCACGCGTCGCAGCCGCAAGCGCCGCGCGTCACAGCCACGGGCGCCACATTTCACAGCCGCAGACGCCACATTTCACAGCCGCGGGCGCCGCATTTCACAGACGCAGGCGCCACGTGTCACAGCCACAGGCGCCACGCGTCGCAGCCGCAGGCGCCGCGCGTCACAGCCACGGGCGCCGCATTTCACCGCCGCAGACGCCGCGTTTCACAGCCGCGGGCGCTGCATTTCACAGACGCAGGCGCCGCGCGTCACAGCCGCAAGCGCCACATGTCGCAGGCACAGGCGCCGCGTGTCACAGCCGCGGGCGCCGAATTTCACAACCACAGGCGCCGCGTTTCACAGCCGCGGGCGCCGCATGTCACAGACGCAGGCGCCACGTGTCACAGCCGCGCGCGCCGCATGTCGCAGCAACAGGCGCCGCGCGCCACAGCCGCGGGCGCCGCATTTCACAGCCACGGACGCCGTATGTCACAGCCGCGGGCGCCACATTTCACACGCAAGCGCCACATGTCACAGCCACGGGCGCCACGCGTCGCAGCCACGGGCGCCGCGCGTCGCAGCCGCGGGCGCCGCATTTCACAGCCACATACGCCGCATTTCACAGCCGCGGGTGCCACATTTCACAGGCGCAGGCGCCGCATGTCACAGCCACAGGCGCCACGCGTCGCAGCCGCAGGCGCCGCATGTCACAGCCGCGGGCGCCGCGTTTCACAGCCGCAGACGCCGCATTTCACAGCCGCGGGTGCCGCATTTCACAGCCGCAGGCGCCGCGCGTCACAGCCGCAGGCGCCGCATGTCGCAGCCACAGGCGCCGCGCATCACAGCCGCGGGCGCCACATTTCACAGCCGCAGACGCCGCATTTCACAGCCGCGGGTGCCGCGCTTCACAAGCGCAGGCGCCACGTGCCACAGCCACAAGCGCCGCGCGTCGCAGCCACAGGCGCCACATGTCACAGCCACGGGCGCCACGCTTCACAGCCACAGACGCCGCATTCCACAGCCACGGGTGCCACATTTCACATGCGCAGGCGCCGCGTGCCACAGCCGCAGGCGCCACATGTCGCAGCCACAGGTGCCGCGTGCCACAGCCACGGGCGCCACATTTCACAGCCGCAGACGCAGCATTTCACAGCCACGGGTGCCGCATTTCACAGGCGCAAGCGCCGCATGCCACAGCCGCAGGCGCCGCGCGTCGCAGCCGCAGGCGCAACATGCCACAACCACGGGCGCCACATTTCACAGACACAGACGCCGCATTTCACAGCCGCGGGCGCCGCATTGCACAGACGCAGGCGCCACGTGTCACAGCTGCAGGCGCCGCGTGTCGCAGCCGCAGGCGCCGCGCGTTACAGCGGCGGGCGCCACATTTCACAGCCGCAGACGCCGCATTTCGCAGCCACGGGTGCCACATTTCACAGACGCAGGCGCCGCATGTCACAGCCGCAAGCGCCACATGTCGCAGCCACAGGCGCCGCGTGTCACAGCCGCGGGCGCCGCATTTCACAGCCGCAGGCGCCGCATTTCACAGCCACGGGTGCCACATTTCCCAGACGCAGGCGCCACGCGTCACAGCCGCAGGCGCCGCGCGTCGCAGCCGCAGGCGCCGCGTGTCGCAGCCGCGGGCGCCGCATTTCACAGCCGCAGACGCCGCATTTCACAGCCACGGGCGCCGCACTTCACAGGCGCAGGCGCCGCACGTCACAGCCACAGGCGCCACATGTCGCAGCCGCAGGCGCCACGCGTCGCAGACGCCACATTTCACAGCCACGGGCGCCACATTTCACAGACGCAGGCGCCACGTGCCACAGCCACAGGCGCCACGCGTCGCAGCCACAGGCGCCGCATGTCACAGCCACGGGCGCCACATCTCACAGCCACAAGCGCCGCATTTCACAGCCGCGGGTGCCACATTTCACACGCAAGCGCCACATGTCACAGCCACGGGCGCCACGCGTCGCAGCCACGGGCGCCGCGTGCCACAGCCACGGGCGCCACATTTCACAGCCACAGACGCCACATTTCACAGCCGCGGGTGCCACATTTCACAGACGCAGGCACCGCGTGCCACAGCCGCAGGCGCCACGTGTCGCAGCCACAGGCGCCACATGTCACAGCCACGGGCGCCACATTTCACAGCCACAGACGCCGCATTTCACAGCCACGGGTGCCACATTTCACAGACGCAAGCGCCACATGTCACAGCGACAGGCGCCACATGTGGCGGCTGCGGCTGTGAAATGTGGCGCATGTGGCGCCTGCGGCAATGAAACTTGAAATGCGGCGCATGTGGCGCCTGCAGCTGCGAAACGGCGCCCAAACCCACAATTCGGAAACTACCATGTATACTTGCCGGGTTGTGCGTTTCGGGCGTGTGTTCATCCACTGTATTCGCCTACTGTATTGACCTACGGCATTGACCTACTGTATTGACCCACTGGATTTACCTACTGTATTCACCTACTGTATTCACCTCCTGTATTGACCTCCTGTATTGACCTCCTGCACTCACCTACTGTATTCACATACTGCCACCTCCTGTATTCACCTACTGTATCCACCTACTGTAGTCACCTACCGTGTTCACCTACTGCGTTCACCTACTGTATTCACCTCCTGTATTCACTTCCTGTATTCACCTCCTGTGTTCACCTACTGTATTCACCTCCTGTACTCACCTCCTGCATTCACCTCTTGTATTCACCTGCTGTATTCACCTCCTGTATTCACCTACTGTACTGTATTCAACCACTGCTGTATTCACTTCTTGTATTCGCCTCCTGTATTCACCTACTGTACTGTATTCAACCACTGCTGGATTCACTTATTGCCTACACCTACTGTATTCATTACTGTATTCATTGCTGTATTCATTACTGTATTCGTCACTGTATTCATTACTGTATTAACCACTGTATTCAGCACTGTATTCACCACTGTATTCATTACTGTATTCACTAAAAGTTACTGTATTAAAACAAGCTTTATGCATAAACGACCAAGCATTATGCACTGATGAGTCTGTTTATGCATTGATGGTTTACCATCGTCCCCGAGAGGCTGGCGACCGCCAGCGATAGGAGGGCCGCGAGCCTGCGCGGAGGCAGGGGGGGTTCGCTCTCTCTCTCTTTCTCTCTTTTTTTTCTCTCTCTCTCTCTCTCTCTATTTCTCGAGGAGGAGGATGAGGAGGAGGAGGAGACCCAGAACTTGCCCCAGCAGGCGGCGGAGGGCGACCAGGCCCGAAAAACACTTAAGCGCAGCAGCCTATCAGCTCAGGCCCAATACCTAAAATGATACGACACGTTGTGTGGCGTAATCTAGGTCTTGCAAACTACGCGGTGCACGCTGTGGTGTAAACTATGTGGTGCAATGCATTCTGCCACCAATGAATTGTTAACACCATTGTTAGCGCCAGCATCCTGCCCCCACCCGCATCGTGTTTTGGCAAAACCCATTCGGTCACCAGCGTGGTTGCTGATTGGCACTTGCCAGCGCATCTCTACGGTTGCGATGGCACTTGTCGGCGAGAACTTCCCATCGCTTCTCAAAGGCTGGGCTGGCGCGTGGGCACTTCAGTTCGGGATATTATGGTGGCGTTGGTAACGTTGGCAATGGTGATGGTACTAGCGATGGTGGTGGCGATGCTCACGATGGCGATGGCAAGGGCATCCACAAACACCACCTTGAAAACGCAGACGCCGAGGACATGTGCAACGACCAGCAATACTAGAAGCGGTCCTCCGGCCTGTCATCACCGGCTAAGGTGGCCCCAAGGGAGCCCCAGCAAGAGGCTCCCTTGGGGCCATCTTAGCCGTCTTGGAGGGCATCTCGGAACCATCTTGCGCGGGAAGACCGACGACCCTGGAAATTTCTGCAACTCCTCGGGTGGCCGGCGGTCTGGGCAGGAGGCCGGCAGGGACCTTCGTAACAAATGTGCAAACACACAGGAAACCAGCACACCACACACCCCTTGAAATATCAACAGGGGGCGGCAGATATCAGTAGCCCTCGGCCAATCCTCTTGCCGCGCCTGGGGTGCGTGGCCTCTCGGGGCCTCCTGGGGACTTTTTTAGCCGCACCTTATCACAATAAGGACGAAGGTCAGTGGTGGCGAAAACGGTCGGCGCGCCAACTGCGCGCCAACCGCGAGCCGCGCCAAACGCGCGGTGAGCATGCGAACGTAAGTACAATTCACCGATCAATGGACAGGGGAAGGAAAGGCGGAAGGAGAGAGAAGGGGAGAGGAGGGAAGGAGAGGCGGGAAGAGGGGAAACGATGCCAGGGGGAGACCTCGAAAGGCAAACGCCTTCGAGATCCCCTCAAGTCCTGGCTTGGGAAGCTGGGCACGCACGCTTATAGAAGCGACGGCAACCGCCCAGCTTAAGGAGGGACCTCGCCTCTTCTGCGGCGAAGCTGCTCTGGACAGCCTGCGTCCTATCGACCGAGCTCTTCACCCGCGCGTCGTACTCCATGATAGCCAGCTTGTTGTAATAGTACATAAACTCCTCGCTCAAGTACTTTCTGCCAAAATCCTTCTGACCCTGCAGCTGCCGCGACGTGTTCTCCAGCAACATGACATGGGACACTTGTTCAACGACATCGCTGAGGTCAGGCTTGATGGGCCAGAAATGTCTCCACGGTCGCATGAAGCTGGTGAAAAACTCTGATGGCGGATTCTCGGGCAACATGACGACGGCGTTTCCGTAAAAACACTGCCTGAGTCTTTCGGCCCAGTCGCTGTTGCTCCCCACGTTCAATATAGCCTGGTAGTTGCACAGCTGTTCCGTCAAGGGCAGGAAGTCGCTGACATTACTTCTCTTGCGTCTGTGGTTGATCTTCGTGGCTTCAGTGTCGAACATGTCAGGTGAGACTCGCCAAGCATGTGAAGGAGCCACCGGCCATTGTCTTCCCAGCCGCAGCTCTGCGTGCATGTCCCGAACTTCATCCCCCTCCACTGCGTTCTGCCGCGGAAGACAGCCTTCTTGATGCGCGCGCTGGTGCTGTTACATTTTAGATTCTCTTTCACATATTTGTCCCAGCCGACAACCGGCGTGTTGACATATGGCAGAGGAGACCGGACCGTGCCCATCGCGAAAGGCACAGCGATAGAAGAATACATCGGGTGATACATAGTGCCGAAGACCGGTATGCCCAAGTTGCCAGAACGGACGTTCTGCACGCCGTCGTGCAGGCCGAAGGGCACGTACACGTCCACGTCAGCCGGGAGGCCTGGCACGATGACGTCCAGGATCTCCTTCAGTGGCGGGCCACGAGAGCCACTGAACTCACCACAGTGGAGTCTGTAGCTGCTCTTTGAGATGTGGACCACCAGGGTGATGTAGGCGCCAGTCACTGGCACGCAGGCCGCACGCTTCGAGTAGTCGACCGTCGTCAGCTCCGACAGCTCCGACTCGATCACGTCGAACCAGGCCCGCACGTGAGACTGCACCTCCTCGGCGGCAGCGGGCGCCAAGAAGCTGGGCGCCTCCGGCATGGGCGTCTGGCGAACGCGCGGCACGGGCTTCGGGTCGGGGCTCCCCCGCGTGAGGGCGCCTGCGGGCGACGTCAGAACGAGACCGACCACTGCGAGCTGCTCCCAACGTCTTCCTAGCATGGTCGCGCGGGTGCGCATCATTTGTGAGTGACAGAGAAATCTCCCTCACTCTCTGTACTTCTGCGGACCAGGGCGCCCTTCCCTCGGAACAGAAATGCCTACTTGAGCCAAAATGGCTGCGGACCTCCTGGGGAGACTCTTGGAGCCTCTGGGCGGCCTCTTGGTTGCCTTTCGGTGGTCTCTTTGGCGGGCCTGTGGGGGGCCCTGTCGGAGGCCCTGCGGGCTCGTCTTGGAGCGTAGGCTTCCAGCGGCCTGGCGGCGGCGCGCTTTTCGGGCCCCTCTTATAGTGAGCAGAAAATCCACTCCAATAATAAGCACCCCGACAAGCGAAGCCGTTCAGTAAACGCTCCCATGGAAGTAATCGGACAGGGCAGGGCTGTTCAGTAAACGCCCAGGGCCGTTTAGTAAACGCCAACTGTCGGGGTCGGGGTGGTTTTTCCCCCACACAGGGCATGCGAGAACCCTACAAAGGTTCTCCATGGCTTGGGCTTCCGAGGCTGGCCCCTCGAAGCTCCCGAAAACCCGACAGACCTCCCTCCACGACAGCTCCCTCCTCCCTCCTCCCTCCTCCCTCCTCCCTTCTCCCTCCTCCTCCTCCCTCCTCCTCCTCCTCCTCCCTCCTCCTCCTCCTCCTCCTCCTCCTCCTCCTCCTCCTCCTCCTCCTCCTCCTCCTCCTCCTCCTCCTCCTCCTCCTCCTCCCCATGGATGGGTCCTGGGGACCATCTTGAAGCGCGTTGGGACTTCGGATCCCGAGGGCGCGTCCAAGGCCTCGGGTAAGGGAGCCCGGCGCGTCCTGGCGGCGCCCGCGTTTTTCGCCCAGAAGCGCGGGGAGATCCAAGGAAATTCGGGCCCTGGGCCTTCAGTTTCTTTGTGTTCACTGCACGAGATTCAGAATCAGTGAGGGCCTGAGGTCACTCCACACGATGTGTCTACAGCGGCACGGTGGCGGGCGTCCAACGAGGCGGCACTGAGGACAAACATGTATCACAATTGAGCGCATATGGCAAACGTAAATGACATATCCAGACTGCAGACGGACAGATCAAGCATATCGAACGAAAGACGGGATAACGCATTTACGCCTAAGAGGCGCAGGACAGACAGCGAAAACATGCGCAATCAACTCCCTGGCGGAGGTCGCTCGGGGCAGAATCATGCTTGTGCCGCCTCTCGCTCTCTTGCGTCCCTACCCCTCCCACCCCGTGAAAGAGAGGGCGCTCGCGAGCAGCGCGGCCCTGGAAGTTCCCAGGCATGCCCTCGAACCAGCTGCAAATGCGCGCTTTGACACAACGTAGCAAGGCGACCGCTGCTTTCGCCGACGGCTGGTTTCGCCCGGCTGGTTTCGCCGCCTGGCGAAACCAGCTCCGTCGGCGAAGCCGGCTCCGTCGGCGAAACCAGCTCCTGTCGGCGAAACCAGCTCCTGTCGGCGAAACCAGCTCCTGTCGGGCGGACGGACTTTGACGGGCGGGTCGGGTCGGGCGGGCGGGACATTCAAGTGTGGGGCGCGCTCGACCAGCACGCGCGAACTCTAACGGACGGGTCAGGTCGCGCGGGTGTTCAAAGGATGCGCTATGCAATGACACAGCATACGCAGACGAAGTATGTGATGTCAGCCGCTAAGCATATTACGCACGTAAGCACACTAGGCAAATATAATGCCACGCGCATACACGTAAACTCAACCCAGTACGCAGGAAACGCACAATGCGGAAACTACACATGGTAGTTTCCCAATTGTGGGGTTTGGCGCCACAGGCGCCACACTTCACAGCCATGGGCGCCGCATTTCACGGCCGCAGGCGCCACATTTCACAGCCGCAGACGCCACATTTCACAGCCACATGCGCCACATTTCACAGCCACAGGCGCCATTTCACAGCCGAACGCGCCACATTTCGCAACCACAGGCGCCACATGCCACAGCCACGGGCGCCACATTTCACAGCCGCAGACGCCGCATTTCACAGCCACGGGCGCCACATTTCACAGACGCAGGCGCCGCGCATTTCACTGCCACAGGCGCCGCACGTCACAGCCGCAGGCGCCGCGCTTCACAGCCGCAGGCGCCGCATGTCGCAGCCGCAGGCGCCACGCGTCACAGCCGCGGGCGCCGCATTTCACAGCCGCTGACGCCACATTTCACAGCCGCGGGTGCCGCATTTCACAGACGCAGGCGCCACATGTCACAGTCACAGGCGCCGCGTGTCACAGCCGCAGGCGCCGCGCGCCACAGCCGCGGGCGCCACGCTTCACAGCCACAGGCGCCGCATTTCACAGCCGCGGGTGCCACATTTCACGAGCGCAGGCGCCACGCGTCACAGCCACAGGCGCCACGTGTCGCAGCCACAGGCGCCGCATGTCACAACCGCGGGCGCCGCGTTACACGCCCGCGGACGCCGCATTTCACAGCCACGGGTGCCACATTTCACAGCCACAGGCGCCGCGCGTCACAGCCGCAGGCGCCGCGCGACGCAGCCACGGGCGCCGCGTTTCACAGCCGCAGACGCCGCATTTCACCATTTCACAGCCATGGGTGCCGCACTTCGCAGACGCAGGCGCCACGTGTCACAGCCGCATGCGCCGCGCGTCGCAGCCACAGGCGCCACATGTCACAGCCACGGGCGCCGCGTTTCACGGCCACAGACGCCGCGTTTCACAGCCGCGGGCGCCGCATGTCACAGACGCAGGCGCCACATGTCACAGCCACAAACGCCGCATGTCGCAGCCGCAGGCGCCGCGCGTCACAGCCGCGGCCGCCGCATTTCACGGACGCAGGCGCCGCATTTCACAGCCGCAGACGCCGCGCTTCACAGCCGCAGGCGCCACGTGTCACAACCGCAGGCGCCGCACTTCCCAGCCACAGGCGCCGCGTGTTACAGCCGCGGGCGCCGCATTTCACAACCGCTGACGCCGCATTTCACAGCCGCGGGCGCCGCATTTCACAAACGCAGGCGCCGCATGTCACAGCCGCAGGCGCCGCGCGTCGCAGCCGCAGGCGCCGCGTGCCACAGCCGCGGGCGCCACATCTCACAGCCGCAGACGCCGCGCGTCACAGCCACGGGCGCCACATTTCGCAGACGCAGGCGCCGCGCGTCACAGCCACAGGCGCCACGTGTCGCAGCCACGGGCGACACGTGCCACAGCCGCGGGCGCCGCATTTCACAGCCACAGACGCCGCATTTCACAGCCGCGGGTGCCACATTTCACAGACGCAAGCGCCACATGTCGCAGCCACAGGCGCCACGCGTCGCAGCCACGGGCGCCGCGCATCACAGCCACGGGCGCCGCGTTTCACAGCCGCAGGCGCCGTATTTCACAGCCGCGGGCGCCGCATTTCACAGGCGCAGGCGCCGCGTGCCACAGCCGCAGGCGCCGCATGTCGCAGCCGCAGGCGCCGCATGTCACAGCCGCGGGCGCCGCATTTCACAGCCGCAGACGCCGCACGTCACAGCCGCGGGCGCCGCATTTCACAGGCGCAGGCGCCACGTGTCACAGCCGCAGGCGCCGCGCGTCGCAGCCGCAGGCGCCGCGCGCCACAGCCGCGAGCGCCACGCGTCACAGCCGCAGACGCCGCATTTGACAGCCACGGGCGCCGCATTTCACAGACGCAGGCGCCACATGTCACAGCCGCAGGCGCCGCGTGTCGCAGCCGCAGGCGCCGCGCGTCGCAGCCGCGGGCGCCGCGTTCCACCGCCGCACACGCCGCATTTCACGGCCACGGGTGCCGCGCTCCACAGGCGCAGGCGCCACATGTCACAGCCACAAGCGCCGCGCGTCACAGCCGCGGGCGCCGCATTTCACAGCCGCAGACGCCGCATTTCACAGCCGCGGGCGCCGCATTCCACAAACGCAGGCGCCGCGCGTCACAGCCGCAAGCGCCACATGTCGCAGCGACAGGCGCCGCGCGCCACAGCCGCGGGCGCCGCATTTCACAGCCGCAGACGTCGCATTTCACAGCCGCGGGTGCCGCATTTCATAGACGCAGGCGCCGCGTGTCACAGCCACGGGCGCCGCGCGTCGCAGCCGCAGGCGCCGCCTGCCACAGCCGCGGGCGCCACATTTCACAGCCGCAGACGCCGCGTGTCGCAGCCGCGGGTGCCGCATTTCACAGGCGCAGGCGCCGCGTGTCACAGCCGCAGGCGCCACATGTCGCAGCCGCAGGCGCCGCGCGTCACAGCCGCGGGCGCCGCATTTCACAGCCGCAGACGCCGCATTTCACAGCCGCGGGCGCTGCATTCCACAGACGCAGGCGCCACATGTCACAGCCGCAAGCGCCGCGCGTCGCAACCGGAAGCGCCGCGCGTCACAATCGCGGGCGCCGCATTTCATAGCCGCGGGCGCCACATTTCACAGCCGCGGGTGCCGCATTTCACAGACGCAGGCGCCGCGCGCCCCAGCCAGGGGGGGGCGCGCGTCGCAGCCGCAGGCGCCGCGTGTCACCGCCACGGGCGCCACATTTCACAGCCGCAGACGCCGGTCGCCACAGCCGGGGGCGCCGCATTTCACAGCCGCGGCTGCCGCGCGTCGCAGCCGCAGGCGCCGCGCGTCGCAGCCGCAGGCGCCGCGCGTCACAACCGCGGGGGCCACATTTCATAGCCGCAGACGCCGCATTTGACAGCCGCGGCTGCCGCATTTCACGGACGCAGGCGCCGCGTGTCACAGCCGCAGGCGCCGCGCGGCGCAGCCGCAGGCGCCGCGCGTCACAGCCGCGGGCGCCGCATTTCACAGCCACGGGTGCCGCATTTCACAGGCGCAGGCGCCACATGTCACAGCCACAGGCGCCGCGCGTCGCAGCCGCAGGCGCCGCGCGCCACAGCCGCGGGCGCCGCATTTCACAGCCGCAGACGCCGCATTTCACAGCCGCGGGCGCCGCATTCCACAGGCGCAGGCGCCGCGCGTCACAGCCACAGGCGCCGCATGTCGCAGCCACAGGCGCCGCGTGTCACAGCCGCGGGCGCCGCATTTCACAGCCGCAGGCGCGGCGTTTCACAGCCATGGGCGCCGCATTTCACAGCCGCAGG